TGGAGAACCTGGAGAGGGTCCAGAAGAGGGCCACTCATATGGTTGAGGGCCTCCGTGGCCAGCTCTATGAGGAGAGGCTGAGGGACCTGAATCTCTTCAGTCTCCGCAAGAGGAGACTGAGGAGGGATCTTGTGGCTGCCTACAACTTTATCAGGGGCCAGCAGCAGGGACTCAGGGAAAGTCTGTTCACCAGGGCCCCCCTTGGAGTCACTAGGAACAATGGCCACAAGCTGAGGGAGGATAGGTTTAGGTTAGATATTAGGAAGAACTACTTCACTGTAAGGGTGGCCGGAGCCTGGAATAAGCTTCCCAGAGTGGTAGTGCTCTCACCTTCCCTGGAAATCTTCAGGAGGAGACTGGATAGGCACCTGGCTAGAGTCTTATGACCCCTCCCATCCCCAGTGCTCATTCCTACCCATGGCAGGGGGTCGGACTCGATGATCTGTCTAGGTCCCTTCCAACTCATTGATTCTATGATTCTATGAAGTGCCCTTAATAAAGAAATGTAAAGTAATGTTAAGGTTCTCATGGAAGCATGGTATTTCATATGCATAAAAGACTAATATAAACCTTCAGCCCCAATACAGCTACATTAAGCCTCTTAATTAAATAGGAACAATGGAAATAATAGGGAAATTTAACATTGATTTTATTTCCTGGCTCTTATTCTTTTATAATTGAATTTGGCTGGATACTAATAGAAGCTGTCATGACAGAATAAGAATGCTGTTCTTCCCTTTTTGGTGTGGGGTTGTGGAAATACTGGGTCATATTACCATTGTTCATATTTATATAAGGTACAGAGACATAGTCTGCATAGACATGAAGTACTTTCAAAGGAATAATTAAAGTAGGAGGTGCAATTCCTCACTGGACCTTGGGGAAAGCCATTCATTGTAACATCCAGGTAGCAGTAAATAGTTACTTATTTTCAATAAAAAAACTATGGTTTCAGATAAACATGTCATTCCAGGCAGTGGTGCTTTAAGAAAATAATGAAATAACATGACTTGAGATAACATCACGAGACCTGGCAACACTATGCATGAGGTAATAAAAAAGTGCCTGTGATTTGGCCATGCCTATAATAGAAGTTTGCACTGAGGCAGCTACACAAAAGAGCAAAATCCCCAGTGTGCACAAGACCTGAATTTTTTATGACTGCTAGGACTTTTAGAAAGAACTTATTTTTGTGAAATTGGCCTCATTCTCTACCATGCAATGTACACAGTCAGGCAAGTAAGTATCTGTCTGTCTTGTGAGACAACAGAATTACGCCAAGTGAAGCAGCTCATTAAAGGTAATCCTTACTTGAAAGATAAAGCAAAGCTGGAATGACTTCTCCAGGGTGCAAAATCCTGGGCAGTGTATACAGAGACACTGAGTTGTCCACACACCAGTATCCCTCTCTCAGCCTAATGTACACAGGGCTGTGCGCTGCTGAATGGTGACAAAACCCCACGTGAGTTAAATAGGTAATCTCAAATGATTGTTGATAGTATTTTTATAACAAGACTCATAATATATTCTGTATGTCAGGGAGGGGAGAAAATGAATATGCATTTCCAATTAATCCTGCATTTAAGTATCAGTGGTCTGAGTAGCCCAAGCAAAAATATAAAGAAGCATGCTTTGTCTTCTGGACTGGTACACAGACTACTTCAAACTGTAGCCCCCAAATGCTCGTTAAAATGCAATGTAGTATAGTGGGACCGTGTATGAACAAACAGGTTTTCAAGGTTGTGGCACCCCTCCCCACCAACCCGCAACCTAAAAAATCCCTTAATGCAAATACCTAACTCATAGAACAATCTGTACATTTGTTTGTTTTTATTTCACTTTATGTACATATAAGATCTTGTCATTAATCTTAGGTGACATTTTGCCCTGAGCCACACTTGTGAAAACAATCTAGAGTTTCCATGCATGAAAAGTGAACAGAATTTGGCCTCTTCCCTATTTCAGCTGCTGTGAATATCTGTCTGTGGCTACCTTAAAATCACAGCAAGTAACATCTGGTAACTGCCCTTTTTCTCATGTTTCCACTGGTTTTCAGACTTCCTGGTAGCTGAGACTGCGCATCTGGATGTTTTAAACATACAAAGGAATTGCTAGAGCAGGCAAAAGAGAAAACGGTGAAGAGAGTTAAGATGTGCAGATAAGTAACTGGTGGACTGTGCAGCTAAAATAACTGGCAATCAGTGAGGGAAAATCTTTTTAAAGAGGGTAGTGCAAGCTAAGACAGAATGAAGACTCATGTTGTCTTTACCCCTTTTGGCTTCATTTTTAAAGTACTCTTGATCCAACAGCATCTTTTTCATCAAACTTTAGCTGCACCGTCACCAATCATTAAGTTTCCTGGAGACAGCCCTCCCAAAACAGACAAAGAACTAGCAGTGGTAAGTGTTGGTTTTGTCTTTGCTTCAGATTTATATTGTTGTTCACCATAAGCAGATGTTTCTTTCTTGTTTCAGCTGAGGCTAGGAAATTACTGTAGTTTTCTCTCTCTAGAGTCTCTGGAAGGGAGAGCTAGCTAGCAAGGGTATCAGTTTTCAGATATAAAAGCTAGAGCCAAGTAATGTTTCCCCTCTTAAAAATTTTTAAGCCAGCATGGAGAGGGTTTTTTTTCTCCCTGAAAATACAAGAAAAGAATAATTTCATTAAACGGGTCTGACTTTTGTTGAAGGATTTTAATAGTAGTATTTGAAGCAAATAAAATGGAATAGAAAAATATAGAAAACACATAATTCTGAGATTCTTATATAGCCTAAGTTCTCACCACTTTCAAAATGTTGTTTTCCATGTTGTTTACCATGCATTGCGTAAGCACAGCTTTGAGGGACAATTATATCTTAAAGCTGGATAGAGTTTCAGGAAACAGAATGACTAGTTCTAACTTTGAAAGACCTTATCAAAGGTTTGATGAAAGATATTTTTCCTTACCCACATTCATTCTGGAACAAAAAAGAGTTTAGAGATCTCAATGTGACATTAGCAACTTATGGATGTATAGGGTTTTATTCTAACCTTACTTTAGCCCTGTGTACTTTCATAAAAATGACATAATGAGAAAGTCGATTTTAGAGAAGATTGAGATGGATTATTCTTATTTTAGCATGTAAATTATAGACATTTCTCTTCTTCAACACTAACTCCATTTTAAGGAAGATTGAGATAAATTATACTTGTTTTAGCATGTAAATGATCAAAAATGGTCACTTCTTTTTTAGGAGATGGTATGCACCTCAGGAAAATTTGCTAGGTTTAAGGGAGGGGTGGAGAGTTTCCAAAAGGAGGTGGAGATGTTAGCAAATGCAGGCAAACTGACCCAAAGGAGCAATTTCCACTTTCAAACCTTACCAAACAAACCACCAAAGGTTTTACTGACCTTGGC